TGTGTGTGTATTTACCAGCGCGAGCATACACACGGCACGAGGTAACCCACTTATTGAAATGTCTGGAAAACAAAAGGTTTTCCTACCAATTGACTTGAGAATACATGCACATGTATTTAGACTCTCACGTTCGTCGGCCTGCTCAGTACTGGTGCTCTCGAGACACACACAGACAATGGTTCTGTCGAGACACACATGCACAGACAATGGTTCTGTCGAGACACACATGCACAGACAATGGTTCTGTCGAGACACACATGCACAGACAATGGTTCTGTCGAGACACACATGCACAGACAATGGTTGTCGACACACACACAGACAATGGTTCTGTCGACACACACACAGACAATGGTTCTGTCGAGACACACAAAGACAATGGTTCTGCCAAACATATGCCAGGAAAAGTAGGGTGAAAACCTGCCATCTCACAACTAGAGTAAAAAGAAAAATCCAAACAATTAATTAGACCTAACCAACCAGCCGAACAAACATATTAACAAATAAACGAACGAACAAAAGAAACAAAATTGAAACCAGAAAAAACTTCGGCTCCCGTTCCCGCTAGTAAAACAAAACTACAAAACCTCATTCACGGAGACGACACGACCAAGAAAGTTGTTCCTAATGTCACTTTATGTCCAACCTTCATAACTTTTCCAATAATGAATGAGCAAATAATCAGCCAAGCTCTTTTGTTTTCAGCGAAGACATTCGTGGATGCCACAATACTAGATCTAGATCTAGATATCTAGATTCTAATCTTTTTTTTTTTTTTTTACGTATATATCTATTATATTATTATGCGTATGATTGACTAAAATATTCGACCTACTCTACAACTAGGCCTTTGAAGATAACATAATATTATGTAAATATTGTGAACTGTGAACTTTTACTTTCGTTTTTGCCCCAAGCATTATAGCCATAAGAATTATTTTGCTTATTTGAAGTTACTAATTAAAATCAACCAGACCATAAATTTCTGCCAGCAGTAAGGATGTTAAAAAGTAGGAAGCTGCTCCCAACAGGAATGTTGTTTGTTTTGGTTATGCCGGCCCCTCCCACTACAACAACTATCACTACATCACCACACGCTCTCACACAAACACGAGGAAGTGACAAGCGTAGAGAGGAGGCTGGCTGGCTGTGATATTGATACGCTTGATTTTGTGGCTGTGGACTGCCTTGTGTTACGACAGCCGCTCTGTTTGCTGACTGACGAATCGATATCACAATAAAAGCAGAGAGCGCTGAAAACAAACCTCTAGTTTCTCCACTGACTGCTTCCGAGTCTTTCCCCCCTGACATCTTTGAGCATTTCACAGCAGGAGCAAAATGGCTATGCAATACCCTGGTGCCTCTCTGCCTATGCCAACGCCTTTGGTGAGTTGTAACGTGTCAACTTTTCACAGCTTGTCTGTTTGAGTTTGATGAAGGCCCTAGATTATCTAGAGAGATCTTGTTGATCCGTCAAGGTCAAGATGTCTTTTTCCAAAGGCCGTCGTTATTCGGACTCGAGTCCGAATAACATTTTTTCATATTCGGACTCGAGTCCGAATAAAAAAAATTCTTATTCG